GTTTATACTTTGAAGCTTGAAAACTCTGGCACATTATTTTAAAAAATCTTTAATGTGCCATGAAAGGATATGTTTTATGGTTTGAAACAAAATTAGGGTGAGTGAACTATTATTTTATGGTAAGAACCACACATTTTCTTATTCTTATTCTACAGTAACTGTATCTAGAAAGCACTGCAATTATTTAACAATTATAACACCTACTCACAACAGTTTTGTGTATCAATTTATGCACACTTTAATCCACTTTACGACAAATCTGGTTTACTTTTCCCGACAACACATTCATCTTGAAATGAAGGTTTGAGATACAGAAGTACTCAGGAGTGACAAGCTTTTCCATCATTCCGCAGTTCAATATTTGGCTTAGTAAGGAGAGAGTCTGGCATTGCAGGGAGATGATGTCATGCTTTTGCTCAACCACACTTCACACTAGTCTAGCAGAGTGGATCCATAACCTGTTTTAGCTTTTTAAATGCAGCCTGTGTTTCGCATACTGTATAAAATGAAGACTTTGTCGAAACATTCAAATTAGCATGTTTATGTATAGATACTGTTGAAAAAAAGTAGAAAATGGGAATCCGATATTAATTGGAATTTTTTTAATTATTATTTATATACTTATTGCATAGTATATTATTACATACTGTATATATACTTATCATTTAAAGGATTATTAGGAACACCATACTAATACTGTGTTTGACCCCCTTTCGCCTTCAGAACTGCCCTAATTCTATGTGGCATTGATTCAACAAGGTGCTGAAAGCATTCTTTAGAAATGTTGGCCCATATTGATAGGCTAGCATCTTGCAGTTGATGGAGATTTGTGGGATGCACATCCAGGCCACGAAGCTCCCATTCCACCACATCCCAAAGATGCCATTTTAGTACAGTGAACTCATTGCCATGTTTAAGAAACCAATTTGAAATGATTCAAGCTTTGTGACATGGTGCATTATCCTGCTGGAAGTAGCATCAGAGGATGGGTACATGGTGGCCATAAAGGGATGGACATGGTCAGAAACAATGCTCGGGAAGGCTGTAGTGCTCAGATTGGCAGTAAGGGGTCTAAAGTGTGCCAAGAAAACATCCCACACCATTACATCACCACCACCAGCCTGCACAGTGGTAACAAGGCATGATGGATCCATGTTCTCAGTCTGTTTTCGCCAAATCCTGACTCTAGCATCTGAATGTCTCAACAGAAATCGAGACAGAAATCTGAAAACAGAAATCTGACTCATAAGGCCAGGCAACATTTTTCCATTCTGTCCAATTTTGGTGAGCTCAAGTTTTAGCCTCTTTATCCTATTTGTAGTGGAGATGCTGCATACCTCGGTTGTAACGAGTGGTTATTTCAGTCAAAGTTGCTCTTCTATTAGCTTGAATCAGTCGGCCCATTCTCCTCTGATCTTTAGCATCAACAAGGCATTTTCGCCCACAGGACTGCCACTTACTGGATGTTTTTCCCTTTTAACACCATTCTTTGTAAACTCTACAAATGTGTGTGAAAATCCAAGTAAGTGGGCAGATTGTGAAATACTCAGACAAGCCCGTCTGCCACCAACAACCTTGCCACGCTCAAAACTGCTTAATCACCTTTCCCATTCTGACATTCAGTTTGTAGTTAAGGAGATTAGCCGTTTCTCAATACCAGGTACGCAGACTTCGGACTTGCGTCCTTGGTAGTTCAGACTTGCAAGTTTGACTCCGGAGAACGAACTCCCGAGGATGCGAGGACGCAAGTCCGGTTCTTCTGCAAATGGAACAGAGCGTACTTGATCGCGTCACTCAGCACGCTCTACTCTATATTTTAGGCAACAATAAAACGAAATTTGCTACAACTCTGCATCTTTTCGTCAACAATAAAACGAAATATGTTATAAAACACCCCTCTGACTCTTCATTAACAAAAAACAACATAGCCTATTAGCCTAATGGCCATGTGGTTCAGGCAATGCAATTCTCTTCAGTGCATTTATTTATATCAAAATGAACATGCTATTTTTGTTTTCATTTTAAAAATATGAAACATTGATTTTTATTGACATTTATCAAACAGAGACAGGGTTATGTCATTTTATGTTATTGTTCATATAGTGAAGATAATATAAAAAAAAGTTGTTGAAGTTAAATAGCCATGAAACCTCAAAAAAAAATTTTTTTTGTTTTTTTTGCGCCATGGAACAAACTATAGTTTATTGAGACCAAAGATAGACTTATACACAAGACGAATTATTATACGTCAAGGTTTATCCACTAGACTAGAGAGATCAGAGCCGGCGAGAAACGTCAGAAGCACTAGCCGAGGATAAGCTGTTCCAGTCGGGGTTGATCTCGCTGAGTGTCCGCTTGGATGTCAGAACTCCGAAAACGTCAGATGCATTTTTCAGATAGGCGCAATCTTTATAAATAAAGTACAGATTTGAGATTTAAACAACCACATTCTCGCCTGAAACACTCTTAAAATTACATTTCCTGACTCAATAACAGTGTAGTATTTTGATATTTCGCGGATTTTCTCCGCTCCTATTGACGCTTGCTGGTTGGTGGTGCGAGGTGCATTCTGGGTTACCTGGCTATCTCAAGTCCACACAAGTCACCTCTCGATGCATCCTCGGTAAACGGGGCGGATCAAGAGCACATCCGGGGATTTGAAGTGGACTTGGCTAGATGCGAACTTTGAATTGGAACAGTACTTCGGCAGCGACTGATGACGTTTCACAAGTCCACAAGAACACAAGTACAGACAAGAACGCATTATTGAGAAACGGCTATTGTCTTGATCAGGGCCACACCCATAAATGCATTGAAGCAACTGCCATGTGATTGGTTGATTAGATAACTGCATTAATGAGAAATTGAACAGGTGTTCCTAATAATCCTTTAGGTGAGTGTAAATGTCTCTGTGATACCAATTATTGAGCCTGCTGCAAAATACACAACAATTCTTTTCCCCAGGACATATGACCGATCTATAATTAATGAAGAACTAGCAAAATGTCTAATATACCGACACAAGGCCTTCTTTTAGATTTTGAGTTTACCTTAAACAAGTTTATTCATTCTAAAGTAACTACATTTTTCAATAGCGTGAACAAAAAGCTTATCTGCTTTACAAATATTTAGCTTTTACATTACAGTAAGTTATTTTGCCAACAAAATGTAACGATGTACAATGACAAAACTACATTGCTATTTGATGTATTGTATTACACAAACTTTGCAACCGAGTGAGCTAAGGTTACTATTAAACATGTATCCAAAGACTCTTCTTTCTTACGTGTAGCACTGAAATGTGTAGAATTGATTCATTTTGTGAATCAGTTCATTCAGACATATCAGTTCAAAAAAACAATTCACAGACTGACCAGAATGTTTTTTCTTTTCTGCAAAGACATTATTACGTGTATTATGCCGTTGACCATGTTTTCAACTTAGATATAAAAAAAAATGATGCTATTTTTATGTCTATAAGTTATTATTACAAGTATATTATCTTAAGAAACTCAAAGAGATTTGGAACAATTTGACTATGAAATCATTTTTGGGTGAACAATCCCTTTAACAACTGAATGCTGTCATTGAGATTTCCATTGTATTTGTGTCAGATAAACAGTGCTATGATTACAAAAAATATCTGATAGAGTTATATATTTAGGACAACATATATGTATTACCCCCTTTATTAGCTGCAATGTTGTTAGCTACTATTTATGAACATATTGTAATGTAGCTACCAACAATTAACTGACTTTAGGTTAACCACTTAAATCTATGAGTAGGCTCTTTCTTTTTGCAAGCTACAGTTGAAAAATTCCCCAACATTTCCCCAAATTGCCAAATAATTTGTCATATCCTCACACTCATTTGGAAACTGAAAGTAAAATAGAACGTTGAAAGAAGGACAAAAGAATGATTAGACAGAGAAGGGGAGCAGGATGTAAATAAAAGGTTGCAAGTAAAAAAGAAAACCATTTGATTTGTTTGCCAAACTAAACAAATAGTTGGATGGAAAACAAAATCCTGTCCAGACCACGTACTCGGGTGGTTGAACTTCCACTACATTGCCCTGGGCTGACTTTAGTTCTACTAGCAAGCCTGTGCATTCTCGCCACAGGTAATTTGAGGTAACCAATTAACACACAGCATGCATTAGCCAAGAGATTTGCCCACAACGTGCACTCTGACAGCAACCGTCAATGTCAAAAAACCCACTGAGCAAGTTTTAGTTTAAAAAGCTAAGAGCAAAAGCAGTAGTTATCAACAGTTTTGGTCGCATTAAATATACAATTCTGTAGTTAGAATGGCAAAATCATTGGCTTATCAACTTCTCAAGGCTATGTGCCCACCAAAGTCTATGGTGTTTAATCACAAATTCATCAGTCACTTGCTAGAAGTTAGCTAAATTAGCATAGGGTGACATTGCACTCATTCTGAAAAAAAAAACAAAACAAAAAAACAACAACAACTAAAAAACAAGAACAGAACTATGTAAGGTAATAATAGAAAATATGATTCAAACTACTTTCCATATGGTTTAAAATGCTCATAAACATGGTTTGTGCTGACCATGATGCATCTTCTTTTTTTTCTGGTGAGAATGAAACCATAGAAATTCAATCTTGTATGATTGAACAGCTTTGGCTCTGTCTTGAATCGCATTTAAAATGGCGTCCTGAAGCATAAAACACAAGACAAAACTAACACATGACAGTGAACAAAGTAACCGAACCAGTACCAGTTCTACTCTTGGGGAACCTAACTTCCTGTTATGTCTCTCTGTGAAACGGGATTTCCCCCGGCAACCGTTAATCAATTACTCTCAGCCCGAGGACATAAAAGGATGAATCAAGGAAGTCTGTCTTCTTCTCTTGCATGGTCATCATTGATTTCAACTCCAGCACAAAAGACCCTGTAATTACTGCATCTAAAGTGGTTGACGCACACACAGACACATTAAAACTGCTCTATAAATTCACTAGCAAGCCAGTTACCGAGTCCCAGGGATGGATGATGCTCCACAAGCGCCCAACTGTTATCGTCCACACAATGGTTTTTATAGACGAGAAACTGGCACAGGTCTCGTGCAGTCATGTTGGCTGGGATCTCCACCACCTTTCCCATCCCGTCCTCATTGAAGATTTTTATGATCTGAATTAGATGGAAAAAAAAACAGATATGATGTGGAGGAAGAAGACAACAAATTTCTAGTTTGGAAAAACACATTGCTACATTTTACTGCGTCACAGGACATTTTTTATTTCCAGGGTACCAACGGAAATAAAACAAACGTTAAATAGTGCCTAGGTGACAGAACTGTATATGTTTTACAAAAAAAAGGGAATATCTGAAACTCTTTCAAGGCTTTGACCCAAAGTGTAAAGCCAATAACCCTCAAATCTAGGTCTTTTCACATACAAATCCCACGTCTAGACTACATCCTTGCTAATACGAGTAGGAAAAGCTGAAGAAAAATGTTAAATTTGAAACAGTTTGACGCTCGACAACTGAATGAGTCTCGTGTCATTGTTTCCCCTTCGTCACTCACAAACTAGCTTTTCTTGAAAATTCTCTATTCCTATTTGCAACATCACTCATCCATTCCGAGATTGTTCATAAACTCACCCAGAACACGTTTATACATCTGTTACGCCAACCTTTACGGCTTTTCCACCACATTTACTCTGGCGAATTCCATAATTCACTTAAACTGTGGATGCAACCATCTCCGTCACACCTCTATTTTAGACTTTACGTTTCATTCTACAGGTTCTATTTTTCACCCAACTACAGATGGACACCAACTCCCCGGACTCTTTCAGTCGCCTAGGGGGAGAGGGACTCTGAAGTACTCAAGAGGAGCTGTGCGTTTGGGGCTAAGGAGAAATCTTACCTCCCCGGGCCTGAGCAGGCAACAGTCAGGAGAACACGATGGCATTTTCCCCAGCAGCCTCTGTCCTCCTCCACACAGTGAGAGACAAACCCGCTCCCCGAATGTCTCCACAACTCCACAAGAGAGAAAAAACACCCCCCCAAAAAGGAAAAAAAAAGCAGTTCCGATGCTTCGCAGATGCTTCTTCCTGTCAGTGGCTCAGCGTATCCTACCTGTCACAATCTCCCTCCTTCTCGTTCTCTCTCTGTCTAGCTTTGGCGCAGGACAGAGCTTGCAGATGGCACTGTTTCCAGCTTGGCAGACAACTTGCCTCTGTTCCCCTCACAAAGGGTTACAGCCACAGGCTTTTAGGTAGTGAATCAAACCACACTTCCCTAACCAATCATAGAGCTAGCTCAAGCTGATGTAATCATTCCCACACAGACACAGACGCACACACACACTCACACACCAACAGGCACACATACACAGACGCGCAGTCATACGCACGCACAGCCTTAACTTTTCTCCCCCCTCCTTCTACATAGCTTCAGTTTCTTTTTGCTCTTGAAAGGAGAGCGGCTCGTTTTTAGCAGCTCGTTTGTTTCCTCTGAAGTGGAGATGGCGATGGGACCGGACAGAGCAAAGCTTCTCGGCTGTCTGAACCTTAACTTTTTAGAGTCTTGAACAAGTTTCATGTGAGGACTTGTTGAAAGTTTTTCTTATTTTCAAAAGCCTAGCTTTGAAGCCAGAACTGTCTCTCATGACAGGGCGAGACTCATTACAGCTGAAATGAAACAAAATGCCAGCACTTGAGACGCCACTCACTGCCTTCCCCCCCCCAGCCAAACTTTATGCCAACATTCCTCCACTAAAGCCACAGAAAAAAAAAGGAAAAAGAAAGAAAAGTGAACCCCAGCGGTTTCATTGGTGACCCCTGAATGCACACACACACACACACAAACCTAAACACACGCGCAAACAAGGAAAGAAGTCAGACGCAAACTTTCAGACAGCTAATTCAACAGAAGACGGACACAAAGAGACTACACCCCACCCATTTCTGTGGAGTTTTTCCTCTTTAATGATTCCAGAGTTTAATCTCAAGTCTTCGTCTCTCTCGGTTATGACACTTGCATATCTGCGTAGCTGCCCTTGCTAAAATTAACTTTATGTGACCACAGGAAACCGGACAGAAAGGATGACTCAATCCTTTTCAATCCTTTAGGAGACTATTTCAGTTATGGGGGTGGGGAGGAAGGGAGAGAGAGAGCGAGAGGAAGTCGGGGATAGAGGGCTGGAGAGAGTTCTGGAAACAGTCCAGAAGAAAGAGTCAGTAGGGGTGGTAACATAAAAGGTATGCAAACTCTCCAGTGCTCCAGCTGGCTTGGCTGCTCCTCCTCTTCTCCTCCTCCTTCCTCCTCTCTTTCACTCATCACTCTACCATTTAGACAGTCGGCGAGGAAAAGACTGGGTCACATATGTCTGCACACTCTTATAGCGTCATAAGCTAGAGACATGTCATTGTGTGTCCATCATTACCCTACTGACCCATATTGCCACGTGGTGACTGTTGGACTTGATATAATAGTTTGTCAGGAGATTTTTCCATTTTCTTCTAAAAGTGTTTCTTTTTTCTTTTTTTGTCAGGGGCATGCCATTAAAGGGACAGTTCACCCCCAAAATCGAATTCTTTCATTAATTACTCACCCTCATGTCGCTCCAAACTCATCAGAAATGAAATCTGAGAGCTTTCAGTCCCTCCATACTGCCCTACAAATGCAAAGTGCAGTAACTACGCAAACAAAAAGGCCTTTAAAGTTTTTATACCAGCCAGTCCAACATGTAATGGGTAGATTATGTGGTAATGGATCTCCGAAACGGGACATAATTTAACCCAGATATTTTTTCACAAGACAGAACACATGTCATAAAGCCCATTACAAGTCTCTTTTGACATTTTTGACCAAATGTGTAGTTACTGCGCTTTGCCTTTGTACGGCAGCATAGACTGTGGCGCTTCAAAAAGTTCATAAAGAGATCATGAAAGAATCCATATGAATTGAGCAGTTTTGTCCAAATTTTCTGAAGTGACACTTTTGCCTTATAATAAACTTTTGGGTTTTTTTCAGAATTTAGGCTTTTATTCACATTTAAACATTCATCAACGACACATCAGTTGTGGTAAATGAAGGCTCAAGCATGTTCCCTTACTGTCCAACAACCATTCTTGTCTGTTATGCAACACGTTTGAGCTTCCGCAAAAACCAATGAAGTTTGTTCTCACGCATCAAGACATTTCAGTTGAGCTTCTGTTTATGTCCACTAAACAATGTTTAAATGTGAACAATCTGTTCATCATATAAAGAGATCGAGTCTCTTCAGAAAACTTGACCTAAATCTTTATTTGTGTTCCGAGGAACGACATGAGGGTGAGTAATTAATGAAAGAATATTCATTTTGGGGTGAACTTTCCCTTTAAGACCTTAATTTCATAACTGTCCATGACTTTTACAACTATCATCTCACCAGATTGTGAAACACAATCATTACATCATACAAACCTTCGGGCACAAGTAAACCTATGTGCAAAATTTTTATACTTTTTCCTACACTCCTGGTCAGGGCCGTCACTGAAAATGATGGGGCCTGGGATAACATTTTTTGTGAGTTGGCCCCCTCCGTCCAGGGCAAATACAACATTTTTTGTAAATATCCAGCAACTATCCCTTAAACAACAGTGTTCTTAAGTCATTGCATGACTTTAGAACACTTGGCATACACTTGACTACTTTTGTGATACACTTTAGTTGTTTGGGAAAAGAAAAAAATAACCATAAGAAAAGAAAAAAATGTCAAAGGGGATTGGAATGACAGGAAGGCGAGCTAATTTGATGACCTATTTTTTTTTTCCACAGTAAACTATTTCTGTGTGTGAGCACATAACTGCCAGGCTACAGCTCTGACAAGTGTTTGTTTCCAAAATGGTCTAAAACAACACAGGAACATTTTCCATTGCAAATCTGGAAGTCATTGGAATCTTTCAGAGCCCCGAAGAGCCTCCAAAGCATTCCTAAATCTCTTTTTACTAAGAAAAACAAAGATTAGTAAGCAATCAGATTGCTATAAGCAAATTAATGCATCATTCTAGAGATGTTTCCAGTCCCTCGCAAAGTATTA